GCACCAGGAATGCAGAAACTTTTTTAACTTTTGAAGTATTTTTAGTTATAAATAATATATTTTAATATAAATAATTATATTAGAAATACAATAAATCGAAGTTGTAAATGATGCAAGGCTTACTATGATTCAGTATGAGGAGAAAGATCATGTATTTCTAATGGACAGCCAGACTTTTCAGGAATAATGCAGCTGTGGGTTCAAAAAAATCAAGTTCAGTGCTCAACTGTTTCACTTTATGGAAATAAATGAGCAGATTAGCATATATTTTAGGAAAGTTTAAGTTATCTGAAGCAACATTGGTTAATAGTTCCGACCATTTTTGTGATGGTATTTATATTAAACTTTTTAAAGACAATTCTTTGTTCATCCATGAGTTGTATTTTGCTGTATGTTTCCAGTATAATGTTTTCTGTCCTGACTCTCAAAAGTTAATGCTGTTTTATTTGTATAGTAGTGTATTCTGGCAGCACTGCTTATAGTATTTTTCTCAGGAAATAAGTGCACCTAGGCTAAAAGTGAAAAAGATAAGAAATGAATAAAGGCCATAGAAGTATAAATAATCAAACTTTTTGTTGGTGTACTTTTGTGAACACTGTATTGAGATAGCTATGTGATTATAGTCCATTAAAACATTTTATAGCATCAAACTGAAACTACTCTGAAATGTTGAATATTCAAACTAGATTCACACAAACTCTTTTTTAAACTTTCATAATTTTTCATGAATCAATGCTGGCCACCATAAGAACGACTAGTTTATGGTCACGTGACCTGCTTTTCAGATTTCTGAGAAGCAGCCTGTAAAGTTCTAGCTTTAATTCTCTTCGCTAATAATTTCACACGTGTATATGATCAATACATGTTCCTCTTCAACATGAGGCGTGCAAACTTAGTCTTGATTATTTTTTTTTAAGCACAAAGAGGACCGTTTTTGCTGAGTAGTAGTCTGATAGTTTTTGTCCAGAGGCCTGTGTTTTGTCAACTTGCATAATTTTACAGATTCCAAGATGCAGAATTTGTGATGAAAATTCATAAGCCAGAATTTCATTCTGCCTCGTTATTCTGTGTGGTAACATCTCACTCTCTTGCTGGGTCTGGTTAATCTCCCACTTTCAATCTGTGTGTACCAGGTATTTCTGCCTACATAGCCACCAGGATTTGGGAGTATGTTGGCATAGTTCAGAGTCTGTTTGTAGTGGCAAATAACTGACAGAACAATTTCTAGAGGTATCTATCTCTAGTTGGGCTGTTTAAACTCACTGTACAGCAGATGGCACTGGAAGAGCACATCGGTGGGACACTTCAGCGATGCTATGATTTGTACAAAATACTAGCGAAGCTGTTGCAGCATGGAGGGTTGTAAAGAAGTTGCGTAGCTCCTTTTAGTGGATTCCAGGAAGGGATGCATGCTGAGCTGTTTTGCTTCAGCTCTTCTAGATGTAGACAGTGGAAAATTCTACACTTGCAAGTGTGTGAGTGTATCATATATTGAGGGCTGTTTATACAGCGTGTTTAAATACGTGAATGTACAATGCAGTACTACTGATATTCTTTAAGGATGTGCAAAGAAAGAAGATTATCTGGATCAGTTAGAGTATTTGACTTCAGGGTACATTTGCTTTCTCCTGTCTTGGATGAAATGTGTGTAAGAGATATCATTAAGTAGAGTGGTTCTCATATGGAAGACTTCTTCAGAGGCTTGCTCTCATCTGTCGGTGTGTTCAGTTTATTTCAGAGAGCTTTGACCTGGCCTGTCATTCACTGTATTTTTATTGTCTTTTCCTGGATGAATGAGCTGGACTTCTGGATATATGCGTGTTGTTTATGTGGTTTATACTTGAACTTCAAACCTTTATTATTTCTTCATATGAAATGTTACAATGATACAAATGATGGGTCATGCATTTGGGTAATCGTTTTGCTTGATAAAGATATTGGCTACTAAGGTAGGCTGACAGATGTAAAACACTTTTTCGCTCAAACAGGCTCAGTAGTCGCTTTCAAAGTAAAGAATTTTGATTTCAGATAAATCTAGAGATTTATCTGTTGTGATTATTTTTAGATAATGGATTTTAATTTGTAAAAAACCCCCATTTTGATAGAGAAGGACTAGTACGTGATAAAAACCTGTTCTTTCAAGTGACTTGTTTAGTCTTTTAGTTACGGAGAAGCTGAAGAGATGTTCCTTCAGCCAAATTTTAGGTAACTAATTCTTTCGAAACACAGCAATAAAAAGTTTTGGTTAATTGGACCGTTGGGGCTCTATACATCTGCTCTCCCTAATCATCAGTGTGATAATGTTATTTTATTTTCTTCCTAGCTTAGAGGGCAGCTTTTTCTTTGTTTAATGCTTTTTTAGGGTTAGGAGTTGCAAACAGTATGATGTACTTCCCATAAGGATGCGGGAAGGTATCTGGTGAAGTGGAAATAATATCAGCTTGTGCATGTCAGTCAGAAGCAGTTTGAGGACATTGTGGATTTCACAAGTGGGGCTAATATGGGTATTCCCAGGCTTCTGGTACTACGTACACAAAGGTGCAGTTACATTTATCAAATTAACAAATGCTTTGGCTTTGTCAGTCTAGGAGCAGCATAGAATCCTGAAGCTGTATTTTCACTGATTTTGTAGGTTCGTTTAGATACATATGATGAAAAGAGTACTGTAAATTGATAAGATGGCAAAATCCAAACGGCTTAGGAATAGAAGGTCAACCAAGCATTTCGAGTCTACTTTTAATTGACGTGTAACTCTCCTTTTATCTGTATCTGCCTTTTTTCTTAATTACTGTACTAGCAGTTATTCTGATATGCCAAATTTCAGTCATATAAAACCCACTGTATGTATTCTACTCATGTTTGTTTTTCAGTACGTCTTTATTTCCCAATTATTCCAAACATATGGAGCGCATATTAAACATCAGTATTTTAAAACATGAAATTTTATGGTTCTGCATGTGACTGTCATAAGAAAAGGAAAATAAATGTAGGGTCTTAACCTTTAGAAGTACATGCACATATCTCGGTCTTATCTTCAAATTGTGTAAATGGAATATGTTTTTTAAAGTATCGGGATTCCTGGTACCACAGGAGTCATGTTAAAAGTGGAAAATAAGCAATGAGTTTCCAATAAATACTGGTCCTGTTTTTTTAAGGGTTTAATACTTGTATTAATATAGGAAGAGTTGGTTCTTAGTCTTTGTTTAGGAAACATTTTTTTGGGGCATATTTGTTCTTTGCTGATGGCAAGTAAACCAGTTTACAGGCAGATGAGAAACCCTTTAGTTTTTCCCCATTGAGAGAAGTAAAGGAAAGTGGTAATTAAGAAAAGGAAATGGGAAGAGCTGAAAATACTCTAAAGATGGACTTGGGAAATGTTGGAGGTTATGGCAAAGAGTAGTCAGTTAAGCTTTACTGCTTCTGCTGTTTATGAGAACAGTGTTCAACCCCCCAGCAGCAGAGCTTTACTTAAAATTTGTCAAGGTATTTGGAAGTTCAGAATCCTTAGATGCCTTGCATTGTCTTTTAGTTTGGTTTGGATTTGATCGTTTAGCCTTTGTGTACTTGAGGACCACAGAAGCTGGGCTGGACAAGAGTAATAGTCAATGGATTGCTCTTTGTTTATAGTGATCATTCTCCTTACATGCCTTTATGCCATTTTTGAATGCTTATTTAAGAAAATCATGCTGTTTAGCTGATAAAGCTTACTTCAGTTCATTGCACTGTTTTTCTCAGTTGCTTGTATTGTGATATCATGGGAGAAAGGTGGGAAGTGCGTATATAAGGGCTGTTTTACTTTCCCCTCAGTCCTCCAAGCTTGGAAGATTTCTTGAAAGATTCTTAGAATCCTGCAGCTTGCCATGGTTAGCCTGGAGCCAGACTTGCTGCTGCAGTTTGTGCTGCTAACATGACATGTATTTGGAGGTGTGTGGAATAATGGCTACTACTAATGGTAGTACTTGCTTCTGTGGCAGCAGCAGCTTCCCTTTCTTTCCCTTTTTGTTCTTCCCCTCTCTGCAGAGCTTCTTGCTTTGGAAGGTCTAATTAACATTAACACTCCCTCCCCCCCCC